CGTGATAAGTAACGCTAGTCATAAATACACATATATAATCTAACCGTATCTCTGAACATATAATATAGATAAATGGATCCACTTGGGTTCAATCCAATAGGTCTCAGAGTCATAAACCTTAGGGAATTTTATTCCAGATTTTTAGTGTTATTATTTCTAGATTCGTTATTTTTATATTTTCTGAAGAAATGCGCAAGACCCCATAGCCAGATTGTCTGTTGAAGAAAAATATTTTATTTGTTACAGTAATGTTCACGTTGTAGTAGTAATGTTATGTCTACTCCTAAGCCTTTTATAACAAGACAGACATGATTACTTTTATACAAAATAAACACAATATATCTTGACAATAAATAAGTAGGAACGTCTCCAAAACCTAAAGGTTGCCAATTTATCATTATTTTTTCAAGTTGACACTGTAATCCTAAGGATTTTCTTTGTGTAGGCTGTCTCTAGAATGGAAAATGTATGTTTGTTGTTGATATAAATATCATAGAACTGTTCCTAAACCCGTACACCGAACTTACACAAATATGTACTGCGAAATATTATCACAAATATTTATTAAAACAAAAAATCAATTGTTTATTTTGACATGGAAAAGTCAATAAATGGTCATAATTAATTGATTGTTGTTACGATACTAACATAACTTTTAAGATATTATAACAATATACGGACAAAATGTAGTCTAAAATAATTAAATTGATTATTAATTCGGTTAAAAAAATTGTCAAGCATTGCCCAAAATCTTTAATTGTACCTGGCATATCGCTAATTGACACACCTCTTATTGCATGTGATATAAAAAAACCTAACAAAAGGAAGTCTTCTGAAAGTAAAAAGGAAAGCAACAATTCCTAATCTCATAACATTTAAGATTGATGGATGGCCTCTTTACGATTTCGTTTTTTACGAAAAACAAATGAAAGACTCATCTCCCAGTATGATACACAACAGTATCCAACAGTATCTATGAAAACAAAGACATAAAATTCACGAGGCGACCACTGAACACAGACTAACAAACTGAGATCAGTTCTCACAGACCACACATAGCATTGTTTTTGTCTAAACCTTGAAATAGGACGGCTACCCTTACTCTGGATCAATATACCGAAATGTTTGTTGTCTGTCTGTGAATTTGTAGACCATTCTAGTAAAAGTGACGACCTAGGTATTATTGGTAAACTTTGTGTGGACTTTTGATTTGTGTTTAGTCATATAGTTTTGTGTTTTTTAAGTGATTGTATTTCAAACTATCTCGTTTATCTCGTAGTCAATAAACGTAATTATTGACTACAAATTCAAAGACAAAGTATTTATTTCATTATCCCTTAATTAAGCGCTTCTAAAACATCAAAATTGAATTGTCCATCAGTCTGTCTGTCAGTGAAGCTAGGCGCTCAATCCAAAGTAGAGTTTTGATTAGAGAAAAACAAACAAGAAACTCCATCGTTATACTCTATCAAAAATTAAAAAAATATCTTTGGCCAGACCAAAAATTAATTAATTTTATAGTCAAATATTTTTTTTATGACAATTGTATTTTTTATTTTGTTAAATAAGGGTAAACTTGAAGTGCACTGTTGGACTATGAGCCTCTTACTATCTTCATGCTAGGCGAGATAAGACGACCGTAGTTTAAACAGTTCATGTTTATTACTCTCTATCAAATGTGTAGTTTTTTGATAGTCTCCTACTATATTGGCGTAAAGAGAAGGAGTAATCGAAAACGCAAAACTACACGACAAACACATGTCACGTAGGACCTAACGAGTTGCCGGGGCTCCGGCTCGAAGTGCAGGAGTACGAACGGGGTGGTTTTTAGTCAGTAAGAGTCTGACACTTCCTCCCGACTCACCCAGGCGGGAGAAGTAATTCGAGTATCCCCCCCTCCCTTAAAAAAACACGACAAAAACATACAAATAATAAACCATGTAATATTAAGTGTCCTATCGGAATAGATTGCAAACAAAGTTGCAGTTTTAAACCTTGACTTTTTTGGCACTCGCTCAATGTCGGCATGGTGATATTTCACATATCTTTATATTCTTCATGGAGTCACGTCCAGTCTGTTGGATATTTTTTAATATAATAAACTAACAGCTCGTCCCGGCTTCGCACGGGGTAGACAAATATTTATTTTTGGAAATTTGGATTGTTGCAGTGACATAATTACAATAGTTGGACACAGTTGAACATATGCTACCGCGGAGTTTTTTGTAGACATTATGATGTTCTTCAATATTGTTGTACATTATTTTGTTCTATCGCTAATAGTTTCGGCAGCGCATTCGACGAAAGACATTTTAAGACTCATTTTTCTACATCTACATTGTTCAAATTTTACCAAGGATCCCTAATTTTTTTCAAAATGAAATGTAGCCTATATCAAATTGGAAGAATGTAGCATTCGATTGGTGAAAGAATTTGCACTTTTATAGTATTAGTACTTTTTGAGCGTATTCATTACAAACATACAAACATACAAAAATAGGTACAAATCTTTCCTCTTTATAATATTACTATAGATATAGAAGTATAGATATAGATAATAATAAATGTGTGTAGTTTAAATCATGTTTTTCACCGAAGAAGAATATCAATCGATTGATTGCAAATACGACTACCAACCAACCAATGGGTTTGGTTTTAATTCTGTCATGTATAAGGTGAACTATTACTTACTGTAATTTTTCGTATATTTCACAATATCCGGTAACAGCATGGAATCTGGGATTGTATTCAGTGTTTACCTGCTGTTATATGGGACTTGTAACATACAGTTGGTGTTTTACTTGTTCTTGCCAGTCACATAGTTATTTTATTTCTATATTCGATTGGTCGACGTTTGGCCACTATCTTGCCTGGTGGTACGCGATGCTGTGGCGTACGGTGGAACACGCTTGCTTATAGATATATTCACTCAAGCGTGGAAGACACCTAGGTTATATTCTTCAGGAAACACAAGGTCTGGCAAAGAATTCTACTCCTTAGCAGTACACACAAGGAAGCTTGAAGCGAAGGGGCTACTGTCGATATATATGTCGGTGGCCCGGAGGTTTAAGACGCCCACTTCTTATGCATGAGGGTGCGGGTTCGAAACCTACCAACGGCAAGTACCAATGTGACTTTTTCCGAGTTATATGTACTTTCTAAGATTATTTAGACACCACTGACAAACGGTGAAGGAAAAACATCGTGAGGAAACCTGGACTAATAATTTCTAATTATAAGTTTGAAATCGCCAACCCGCATTGAGCAAGCGTGGTGATTAACGCTCTAACCTTCTCCGAGTGAGAAGAGGCTTTGCTCAGCAGTGGGCATTTATAGGCTGTTGATGATGATGATGACTGTCGATATTGTCATAGAGATTCCACCTATCCCTTTCTGGATCAAAAATATCATTGTGTTATGTTATAACTACGAATTGAAATTCAACGTTAATATTTTAATAACCAAAAATAAACCAGATAGAGTTATTATATCAGTACCAACTATATATCAGAGTATTCTGACTTAAATCCGGGATGTAACAGATAATTCACAGAGATACTCGCCGGTTCAATGTGGCGGTTAGTTCTACAGTTGTAACAATACATTATAAAGTGTTAGCATAAACTTAGAAATTATGTAATGGGTTAGATTTACGTAAGTAGTTTAAAGTGGGGTGTGGTGAATAATAGATTTAGGGTACATATCCATGAGATAAATAGGCGAATATCCAGTAGAAGATATAAACTAACTGATGATAATGTTAATGGATAGAAGGAAAGAAGATTTAACGCAATATGTATGGATGATGCATGTGCCATGAAAATGTGTACTTTGAATTACTCTTTTTTCTTTTTTTAAAAAACGTTGTCCAACACTAAAATTTTTTCCTGTTTCGTGAGTGCGCCATGTACAAACGTAAAAGTTTACATATAAGTAAATGACACTCATACCCGAAAGAACAATTTGCGGATCACAGAAAGAATTGTTTCGTGCGGAAATCGAACCCGCCACTCGTTGGGCGTTGCCAAACTCTGTAATTGTAATTATCGTAATCACATGATGTAACTTGAGGTGACTAAAAGGATGTAATGGTTGGATTAAAAAGTTAATAATGATTTATTGCCTTTTATTGCGCTAAACCAGTAAATGCATTATCTCTTCTATAATCATAAAATAAACCCAAGTAAAGGTAAATTATTAAGTAGGTATGAACTTTTCCACCTGAGAAAATGAAGTAAGTTTCCTGCTATTGAATTGCAAGATGTAGGAATTTGTTCACAAGCACAAAGGAATGAAATAAGACGCCTTTGGAAGTCCTGTTGGAGTATGAGTGTACGACCTGCTTAGTCCCCCTTTTGTGTTGTTTCTTGATACTGAACTTTCTCTTGTTTCATATCACTTTATAAATCAGCTCTTCTCCTCTCATCTTTAGCAATCAATCGCTCAGATAATTTTTTCAAAAGAATGACTTTGTATATTTGACAATTCTTCCATACTAAAATTTTACAGTTAAGAATTAACTCATGTATAAAAATCGGCCCATAGAATTAAATTATAATGTTTCTACGGTTCTAAATTTTTTACTTCCTTTTTAGTTTATTGGTCGGCCGAAGAGTATAAAAAATGTTCGGTGTTTCGGAACTTTCTCAGCACCTATCATAGATATGTCATAGTACCTATCTATACCATAAAGTCTAGAGTTGTGGCAATATGATTAAACCCTACATAGTATGTGAAAGTGGGTGTAATGTTCAGTCGGTTCAGTCTATCCTATAAAGGCATGTCCTTATGTGATACAAGCAAATTGAACATAAACAAAATGAAGGATCCACAACCATTCTTTAAACACATTAAACTTTAAACACGTTGACTGGGAGAAAATGCCATATAGCATTAAGTCCGCCTTATGTACGTTATTTTGTGTGCATTAAAGTGTTAATAAATAAAAAAAATTAGTTAAACCTTAAAATAGTTTTCTATTTAAAATTACCAAATATCAGCTTCACTTCAAAACAACAAAACGCAAAATGTAGCAACATAACAAAATAGTGATGGGACCAATATACACCACGCAATAGACAATAGATGTGCACAATATGGCGCCGAAGGATAGCCAGTGCGTTCCTAAATTGTGTGCTGATGAAGAAACTTAAATCCGCAGTCAGGAAGTGGCGGAGAATGCGCCTCTTCCGCAAACGAGATGGTAAGTATAATTTGGTATGGTCGCTGTACTGATAGTAAATTTTTGCTGGCTTCACCATAGCCAGATGTATCAAAAATGGCTGGCTCCAAAACAGTACAATTTTCGAAGAGGTCTAATAGTTTTTTGATGAGTTATAATATAATTTTATTTCGAGCAGAAAATGTATGTACCTATGTCTGGTCTTTTAAGAATGATCCATAAAAATCAAGAACACGTTGGCGTTATGGACATTTTCCCGAAACTGCTTTCCATCAGACAGGCTATAGCTATATATATATATAATGGCTATACCTATAACTTGTCAGTCTCCTCATAGATATATTAGGAAACCGGTTGATAATTATTTTCTTCATAGAATACTTCAACCGTACTTTTAGAAGTACACTTCGTAATATGGTGGACACTTGACAATTTGACATGACATGTGCTGCCATCTGTACTTGATGCACTGACCTTGAAATAATAATATGTTCGTCGTACTTAATCATGTGTTATCCTTTGTCTACAGAGTCTGTGACCCGTCAGGTGTCGACTGATCCAGCGCCGTCCACTTCTGGCACTCCTGCGCATTACCCTCGACCACCACCCACCGAATTATTGCAATTGGTAAGATTTTTTAATTTAACAGGCATTTGCATGACTATACAGACTTCTAAACTAGATGATGATCTTTAAACACATTAAAAACACGAAAAATCAAACTTTTAAGCACAATTTGTAGCACGTAACTATTTAACGAGGAACTCGTCTGCTTCCCAGCCATGCTAGAGGCTCATATTCATGTTCAGCATTTCGCGACACGCGGCGCGGCGACTGTCGAAGACTGACTTGAAACTAGTCGAGTTGCTCGTCAAATAGTTAGTGTGTAAGCTGAAATACAAAAATTAATTTAATATTAGATATGTCTTACAAAAGTTATAATTCGTGTAAACATAATTTCTATCGAATATTATACCTCATCATTTACTAACAAAACGAACAGCTTAATTGTATAAAAACCCTTTTAGACATGGGTGTAGCCACGGTCATTGAATGGGTGCCTCACCCTAGGAACATTGTAACTGCAACATAGAGGCGCCATCTACATTTTACACTAATTGTATTTAGACCTAACGATTATGTTTAAAGTAGGGTACTGCTTTCTGGACACTATTTGTCATTGAGTTTGCTACTCTGTTGTAGATACTAAGTCCAATTAGCTAAACGAGCAAATATCATGGTGCTTTGTCAAGATTTTTTTTTATATATTTGATGGGTCGACGTTTGACCTCTATCTCGGCTTATCTCGCCTGGTGGTAAGCGATGATGATGATATTTAAACAAAGTTGTTATTAAACTGTCAAAGTTATGTACCTAAATCATACAAATTGTTTTATATGGAGAAATGAATTCCATTAAGTACTAATGCGACGTACTGAATACAATATTTACAGGGAGTCCTAAGAGGAAACTGCATACATGATTATTTTGCCCACGTAGACAGATCTTCTAAGTAATGACGGCAAAATATTATACATATCTTCTTTTTCTACTCTCCCATGTGAGACGTGATCCTAGCACAAACTCCTTTCTGAGTTTTAGCATTCTTCACACTATCCACCATCTATCACTAAAAGGTGGATAACCTTTTCTATGATCCCATCCGTCTTTCCACATTTTTTAAAAACTTCGCCCCACATTTCGGTGTTCTCTTGTGTCATGGGTGTGTTTACAAACATACAAGTTCAAAAATGCACATGACACCCACACCCGAAACAACAATTTGTGGAACATACAAAGAGTTGTTCCGTATGGGAATCGAACTCGCAGCACGTTGCGCGGCATCTGGTTGTCCAGCCACCGCGCCAACCGTGCAGTCAAAATATTAATTAGCTCTATTATATTATTATTAATATTTTTAATATTTTTTTTATTGCTTAAGCCGGTAAACGAGCAGACAGCTGGTAAGCAATCGGCATCGCCCATGGACACTTGAAACACCAAAGGCTTTACAAATGCGTTACCGGCCTTTTGGGGATTAGCAGTTTGAGGATCGTTGAGGATTCAGGGATTGGGGAGATTGGGGAAGGGGAGGGTAATTGGGCCTCCGGTACCCTCACTCACACGACGAAATACAACGCAAGCGTTGCTTCACGTCGGTTTTCTATGAGGCCGTGGTATCACTCCAGTCGAGCCGGCCCATTCGTGCTGAAGCATGGCTCTCCCACACTATATGATCCATTCCATCTTTCTACATTGAAGTACAACTGTTATACATAGAAACGTAGATATAATTTCCTTTGTGCCCCAAAGACTATCTCCTAGATAAAAGAGGTTTAATGAGGTCAGTAGCTCGACACTCCATTCCTACGTTTTTGTTCACAAAGAACTTTTCTACTATTAATATCTAAGTCTTTATTTATCCGACGGGATTAAAAATGGACCTAAGTGAATATTAATTGCCTTCCTAGGAAATGACGGCTAATTACTATTTGCTTCCATTTTAATTAAGGCTCAAAATGCACTTTAGCGAAGATTCGAGTTGGGTAGACTAGCTAATTTACATAATTTGTTAAACTGCGTCGCTTGGGATACGGTTTTCTGTTACATTTTTTAATTAAGTTTCGTGCTATATGAATGTAATGTTTATAACTGTTACTAGCTGTTGCCCGCGACTTCGTCCGCGTACAATATGAATTTTAGAACATAACTAATTCAAATGCATTTGCTTTATTGCATTTCTACGAATATTATCTAATATCATATTAATTATTCAAATACATTTATAGCAATAAAAAGAGGTTATTTAATATTACAAGCAAAACTCCAATTTCGTTCATCTGTATAGATTTAAATGCATGTTAAGAGGATACTTTGAAGTAGCAATTTTAAGGATAATTTACTTTATATAGCACTAATAAAAGAAGATACGGTCATAATATCAACGTAAACATACTTAATTATTATTGTCAAGTTAAAACGCCTGATAAGAAAATGAGGTACAATTACGCGTTTACGCGACTATGTGCTATTAAACTTCATTCAGGCGCTTACAAAAATTACATTATCATGTGAATGTAATTTAGTTTAATGGATGTATCCACTCATTGGCGTATTTATGCGATACGGAAGAATATACAATAATTTTCCTTATACTGTAGCAAACTCAAATAAGTACTCTAAACCCAGTTACCGGTTGTTATTTTGTCCTCAAATAATGCAAAGAACATTTACCTTAAAATACATTTTTCGTTTCAGGAACCAGACGAAGGTCAAAGACTAAGAGAGCAACAATTGCGAACATTCTCGTTCTTCCAACTGAGGGTACATTTGAAAAGAGGCCAAAACTTAGTAGCTATGGACAAAAATGGTATGTTGGCACACTATCACAAAACACCAGCTTTCATATTGTGACTAAAAGTTATCAATAAAAAGCACGGCAATATATTAAGACACGTGGCTCCATCTCTTTTTTAAACCCACAAGCTGGTGTTGAAATGTCACAATATGGCGGCAAAACAAAAACATGGCTGCTAACTGGTGCACGGCAATCAAATGCAACTAATATTAACACAAAATAATGCTAATAATTTCTCACATAACAAAACAAATATCTATTTAAATAAAAATAATAATTTATTAAAATTTATATACTTAGTCACTATTTATTATTCACAACTTATTTCAATAAATGAATTTACTAAATCTATTCGAGTATTGATGGACTACAGATACTTTAATACGACACTTTATTGGCACTTATTTTTATAACGGGATTGTATATATTTTCAATTTGAGCAATAGATTTACCTACTAACTTAGACATTTATGTTAGGTACGGAATGTTTAACTGGCGTAAATAAGTACGAAGGCACTCAGATTTTGTAATGCAGTTTTGTAATCGACTCAGTCCCTTCATTTTTGAAGAGCACAAACACGATCTACTATAACTTATTATGAAGCCAGGAAAATGTTTAAAGCAAAACTATTTGCTAACATAAATATTGCTGTCATTGACACTATAAGTTTTTTTAAACCTCAATATTTTGACCACATTTTATGTGATAGACAACTCATCGTTGGACGGAAAGACATAATATGTACCTACTGCATTTTTTGCAAACCAATAACGTTTATGCCTGCCTAGGTTGCCTGGTAGAGATCGCTTTTAGTGATAAGGCCGCCTTTGTGCCCTACTATTCTTGATTGTAACTCTACATATATGTTTATATTACTTTAAGGTGTACAATAAAGATTATTATTATTATTATTATTATTTATTTAGACAATGCTGGAATTTATTGCTCAAATTGAGTTCCATAGCAAAATTCGTGTTTATATTTTTAAATCATTTCGCTAAATGAACTACCCCACACAACACTACACTACACAAAGATAGTTTTATCGTTGTTTTGCATGTATTGTTTTGTTTGGTTTACGCAAATAATGCTTGATGCTTTCTTACCATAATTTCACCTGTAGAATCCTAACTTAATTAATAGATAAGAACCTTACCTAAGTGATAAAATGTCTAAAGTACCCGGTGCCGTTGGTTAGTTAACCAAGGCAATTACTTTCGATACAAAATCATTGCTAAGAAATAGTTTAAATTATCACTAGATGTCTCTGAGTGTGGTAGTACTTGGACTACATTCTGATTAAAATGAAAAGAACAGATACAAAAATATTGAATTCACTAACTTTTCATTAAGAATTTGATACAAAGATATATGCACAATTTTGTCAAATGAAACGAACAATCTCGTAAAAACTAAGACAAAAAAGAACAAATTAAAATAAAGAGCAAGGTATTTATGTAAACTCGGCTTAACTTTTAAAAGGGTCCTTTCTAGGTAAAAGAAACGTCCAGAAACTCATTTTAAATCCCACTTGAATTTATTGACACACAATCCACTCTTTCATTTCAAACTAGGTGAGACGTCACACCGAGTTAAAGTAACTTTGAAAATGAACCTCTCTATTGGCCACCACATGGAATAATCCAATCGGATTACCAAACTTTGCTATGAGACAATCAATGGCTGATGTCGGAACTTAGATTGCGTGAACCGTGTACTGTTCGACTGAAATGAGTTTATAGTGGATTGGCATCTAAATAGTTTTCTAATACTACTACCTACCGAAATTTAATCTTGACTTACTGCTGAATAATTAGTGCAAACTTTAGCTTTCCTTTAACCCGTCGTGTGTCTAAACATGGATCCACGAGAGACGCAATGTATTTTCTATTGTGTCGTATATACGGGCATGCAAGCAGTTTAGGTACTTTTAGATCTACATTTTCTATAAGAATGTAAACTATAGTAGGAAAATGTAATGTGTTTGTGTTCAAATTAAACACTGAAAGGAAACGAAATATATTATACCCATGATCTACAGTTTACAATAGATTCTTGCTAACAAAACGACCTTCAACCCCATATTTACCTTGAAACAATCCTAATAGCTTACATTATCTAGGTTTTTCATTTGATTTTGCTTTTTTCTCTTCTAACTGTAGTGTTTTGTGGGGTCCAAAACCAGGTTTGTTGTCAGGCACGAGTGATCCCTACGTCAAGTTTAAGGCTGGGGGCAGACTGCTGCACAAATCCAGGATTGTGTACAGAGACCTGAATCCAGTGTGGGATGAGTGCTTCACTGTGCCTATTGAAGATCCCTTCCAGCCGGTGCAGATTAAGGTGAGTGAATTTTGTTTTGATAGATACTATTCTTCTTCTCAAGAATAAGTCGGAAACAAGACAAAATGATAAAAATACTCATCATGAACAAGTCAGTCGTAACAAGCCCATATTAATTTAATTCTCTATAAAAAATCCATTGAGGCTAACAGCAATAAAACTAGTGGGTTATAAAGAGAATATAGGATATAAAACTGCAATCCAAATCAGTAATAAAATATAATAAGTAACCCTCATAACCTCGGTCGATTGGAGCGATACCAAGGCTTAATAGAAAGCCAAGAGTACACACACGGTGCTTTTTTGAGGGGGGGAAGTCATCGAATGTCTGCTCCCGCCTTGGGTAAGGCGAGAAAGTGTTTAGACTCGGACTGACTAAAAGCTACCCTATTCCTACTCCTATTACGAGCCGGAGAACCACAGGCTTGCGTTTTGTCTTTTTTTTATGGCATAAGCTGGTAAACGAGCAGACGGATAACCTGATGGTAAGCAATCGGCGTCGCCCATGGACACCTGGAACACCAGAGGTATTACAAGTGCGTTACCGGCCTTTTGGGGATTAGGAGTTTGAGGATCGTTGGGGATTCAGGAATTGGAGAGATTGGGAAAGGGGAGGGTAATTTGGCCCCCAAAAACCTCACTCACACGACGGAACACAACGCAAGCGTTGCTTCACGTCGGTTTTCTGTGAGGCCGTGGTATCACTCCGGTCGTGCCGAAGCATGACTCTCCCACACTTAAATTTCACTGTCTTGCCAAATGAGTGGCAATATAGGAATTTTCAAAAATTTAAAATCTTATTGCTTTGCTCAACACTTGGTTCTAAAAATGCCGTACCCAACAGTAGGATCTGTATTCTGTACTAACCATTTGCTTTTACTCGATCAACGAGTCGCATCAGAACTGAGAATACTTCTTTATACCGCACAATTTATTTTATTCGCTACACTGAGCAAAATTTCTAATCCCTTAGAAATCCGACGTTGAAGTAATATAAGTACCTACGCCCCTGTTACGTAAGACAGATATTATTTACTTCCGCAGGTGAAACTCCAGATGTAATATCCTTTTGAAGGTAGAATTCTGTTGTATGGGTACGTTTTCTGAAATACAAGTAAATAAAGACTGCACGGTTGGTGCGGTGGCTGGGCAACCGGCTGCCGTGCAACGTGTCGCGGGTTCGATTCCCGCACGGAACAACACTTTGTGTGATCCACAAATTGTTGTTTCGGGTCTGGGTGTCATTGTGTATGTGAACTTGTATGTTTGTAAACGCACCCACGACACAGGAGAAAATCCTA